GCCGTCTGCCCTTGGTTGTCTTTTGCTTTCACATCGATTCCGTACTGTGGGGAGAAAAGATATTCAGCTTATTTACAGTTTAAAGCAGCATCTTTATTATTATTATTATTATTAGTAGTAGTAGTAGTAGTAATTTCTACTAGTATAGTTGTTACTGTGCATCTCTGTCTCTCTCTTTCTCTCTAACTCCAACTGGTCGAGGCAGACGTCTGCTCGAGGTTTTCTGCCTCTTAAAAGGAGGTTTTTCCTTGCCGCTGCCACCAAGTACTTGCTCATGGTGGGAACTGTTGGGTCTCTATAAATAATTTTATAAGGAGTACGGTCTAGAGCTGCTCTATTTGAAAAGTGCCCCTTTGTTATGAATTGGCTCTATAGAAATAAAACTAAATCGAACAAGTAACTGATTCTGGCGCCCCCTGTGGACAACAGCGTTAGTGCTTCTACTGCCTCTCGTCTTAGTCTCGTCCATTTCCTGTGTTTTCACCACATCTGAAGACGTGCTTGCCAGACTGTGACCTGCCAGTTTAGGCAAATGAGGCAGATGATTCACTGAAAAAAGGGGAAACAACAGTGCAGAGTTGTGTTGTTTGTCTGTGTCTCTGATATTTGAGTTGGTTGCAATGAATGAAATTAAAACAGAGACAAGCAGAAGTGGAAAAGGAGACTGAAAACTCACAAACTCACATCTCCATAGTGATGATCTATCTATCTATGAGTGTTAGTGTTAGTATGAGGCAGTGAAAGAACAAGGAACTTTATTTTTAAGGCAGCTGCAAGGAACTATCATTTTGTGTTGATGTTGGCGCCGCCTGTGGATGAAAGCGGTAGTGTTTCCATTGCCTCGTTTTATCTGTTTTCAAGAACTAAAATTTACTAAAAGTCAATTTCCTGTGTTTCCACCACATCTGAAGACCTGTCTGGGGTCTGGGCTGATTCACTAAAGAAAGAGGAAGCACACAGTCTGTGTATTTACTCTCACACATTTCTCTGATGTTTGAGTTGATTGTAATGAATGAAATTAAACAAGCAGAAGTGGAAAAGGAGACTGAAAACTCACAAAACCTCGTCTCCACAGTGTCGATCTACAGAGTGTTTTATGCTTTATAATTTCTGCTTTAGTATGGGGCTGCAAAAAAACAAGGAAGTTTCATTTTGTGTTGGTTTTGGCGCCCCCTGTGGACAAAAGCAGCAGTGTTTCCATCAGGCATTAAGAAGAACTACGTAGAAAAACCTCCCTGAGGGTCTTGTTTGTGTATGTAGGTCATATACAGGCATCAGAAATAAATTGAGACAGTTTCATAAGACAAAGATTCCTCTGTGTCATGTTTAGTTACTGAATATAAAATTATAGGAAGTATCTATTGACACTTCCTTATTTTGTAGATGAAATACTGGAAGCAGCTTTGTTTGACCAATCAGCAACGTTCAACCCTGCAAACTCCTTCGTGATACTTCCTGAAACATCAGAAAACTATTATCAGGAACATTTACTTTTAGTATTAAATGTAAAAGTAAAATGTCAGTTTTTTACTGTTATATCTGATGTTTTTGGACTAATATTACTGCTGCTTTAATGTGCATTTTACTGCTGTAGATGTTTATTGTGTTTTATCTAGCGTAGGGGCATCCAAGAGGTTGCCTTTGGTGTGTTTTTTCCAACATGGCTTTGAAATAAATGCGCAAAATAGAGTATTATCCAGATAAAATCTATGTTGACAGTATGCAGACGATTACAGACTGTATCTTCGACAGATTTAATTTCTATAATGATATAATATACAGATCTGGATATAGATCCATTAACTTAAAATCTTTAAATTTGGTCAGGAAGAGGAAGAGTCTGGAAAATTGTAATCTAAGTCGAACTAACCAGTAACTAAAGCTATCAGATAAATGTAGTCGAGTAAAAAGCAAAAAATTTGCTTCTGAAATGTAGTGTAGGGGAAGTGTAAAGTTGCATACATTTGAAATAAACACAAATACATGTAAAGTACAAGTTTGTACTTAAGTAAAGCACTTAAATGTACTCAGTTACATCCCGCCACCATCTACATGTCTTTGTCTTGTCTTATGTGAGCAGCTAATAATAAACAGAGGGCGAAGGTCAAAGAAGAGCAGTAAAACTCAAACGCACCCAGACGAGCAGCTGGGTCATGACTACATCTCCCAGCTGACAAGCAGCGTGCAGGGCCGTGCGTGGCAGTGAGGTCGACCCGGCCAGTTGAGCGTTGATCTGGTCCTTGGTGCTGTGGGCCAGGAGGAGCAGCAGTCTGGGCAGATCTCGCTCAGTCACCGCGGAGAGCAGCCACACCGGCATACTGTCCTCTGGAAGCTGTGGCCCCGGAGGCGGCTGGAGGGTCGCCACAAACGCCCGCTGTTCATACTTCGCACGAATCCACGACTCTCTCTCCTCACTAGTGAAACAGACACAGACAGGAGATCCAGTCATTAATAATAGGAATATACACACTTTAATATCTCATGATGAGCTTCCCACAAGCACTTGACTGCATCAACAGGAACCACCCACATTAAGCACTTATGAACAATCTTTGTCTGTCATCAACTAGAACTCATCGAACTACTGTATAAACAGACAATAAATGAGGAACGCTTATATAAATATTAAAAGTGAAGCATTTATTTACTATATTTTATTAGATATTTTGTATTTATTAATTTATAAATTAACTTTATTTATAACAACTGAGCAAACTGCATCCACTGACGAAGGCAAACTGTTGTTTCACAATGAACCCTCGATGCTCATCGTGTCTCTACAGAGTTTTAAACCCACATCTGAACGATCTGTACAAGTGTATAAACATTTAATAAATGTAACTGTTAGGATTTATTCATGTGTGCAGTCATATAATATTAAATATGATTACAGCTATCAAGCTATGCGTGGTTACAAGTCATCACTAATTCATAAACTGTTGACAGCAGTTATGGATGATTCACAGGAGAGGTTTTAATTGGTGAGAAACACATTAATAAATACTTTATATCTGCTTTCAACTAAGTTATAGTGTGTTATTAGTCCTTTAAATAAATGTGGTACCCACCGGGTCGCATTAGGCGAGGGTTTGGTCCTCCCCTGGGTGCAGCTCTCCCAGATGCTGTTGGCCATGTGGTTTCCGATGGCGGCCAGGACTTGCGTGAGCTCTCCGGGCCAGTCGTCCAGGTCCAGCGAGCGAACGCGAGACAGGTGAGTCCCCAGGTTACGATGGATCCCCGAGCACTCGATGCAGATCAGCGCGCCCAGGTTGAGGCTGGCCCAGGTTGGATCTGCAGGGCGAAGGGAAGAGAGACCGGTGAACTCACACAGATTATTGAGTCGAGATAAAGTGTGTGTAAACTGTGAAATCACCGCAGGCTGCGGGAGGTGCATGAAAGCAGAATCATCCTCCGGAGGGAATCGGCTGGAGGGAAAGACGCCGACATTTAAGTACTCACTTGGCGCTTCACAGTCGACACAGAGGCCATTGCCCTTGGCGTTGCGGAGGGCCTGCAGTGCTACGGCTTCACTCTGACTGCTCCGCCGAGCCTGAGGAATACACACAAACATATTCAAATCATTTATTTATCCATACAGTTACTTATATAACGAGAACAAATGGTATTTAAAACCCATCTGTGTGAATGCTTGGATGTGACACTGCATCCTGTGTATTGATTTAAGTTTGTAAAATGGATGCAAAAATCCCTCTTGTTAACCCCTTCTCCATCCCCAAGAAGCCAATTCAGCTTAAACCTGCATTCTGTGTAACGGCCAGCAGGGGGAGCTCCACTGGTTGCAATAACACACAGATAGCATTCAGTCTTATGGAGAAATGCGCTGACTTCTCAGTTGATTTCTGAGCTCAGTAAACAGTTTCCTGATGAGTTTCTGGTCTCAGTCTGTAGTTTCAGTCTTCTTCCATACAGCATGATGTTCATTTAGTAACTGATGGTCCCATTTAGAGTAAAACAGACCATAAAGCAGGGTATGCTTTAGGGCGGGGCTACCTTGTGATTGACAGCTCATTCTCAGTGAGTCCGTCCAGCTCAACGCACCAAACTCAGATCAAACTGTCAAACTAGGCAGTGCTGATCAGATATGGATCCAGATTCTGTTACTGCGTTTGACTATTTTTCTCCTTAAATCTGTTCACAAACATATTTCACTGTTTTCCTGTTAAACGAGATTGTGTGTGAGCAGGCGAGCCGCCAACGAGAGCAGCTCAACTCGCAGTCGCCTCTGCTGGCTGAGTGCTGACTGTGTGTGTGGTTTCATCAGATATGATTAACAGTGCTGGCAACAACCACACAGCTGTCATCAGAGTTTGATTCAAATGCTGATAAACTAGAATTGGTGCAGAGACATTTGACATTGAAAATCAAAAATACAGATTAACTTTGGCAGAAGATGCGTGCTCTCGTAGGATCCCGTCACTCATAGTAAGAAAATGATTCAGAAAACAGGTTTTTTAAGGCCTTTAAAGTGTGTGTGTGTGTGTGTGTGTGTGTGTGTGTGTGTGTGTGTGTGTGTGTGTGTGTGTGTGTGTACCTTGTTCCGGCCGCTCTCACAGGACTGCAGGCTGGCCAGGATCTGACTCTCTATAGCCGTCACCCACGAGTCTCTCTCCTCCAGGCTCGGAGCCTCGAAGTGCCACGTCTGCCCGGTGAACGACACGATGATAAAGTCTGAATTCTCCTCGTCTGCAAGTCAGAAGGGAAGCAGAACAAAGTCAAGTAAGATTTGCAAAGACACAACTAATATACATATATATATCATGGATTAATATAAAGGGCTTCATGAATCCAGACAGTCAGTGAGGGAATGCAAAACAACACAAAACAGTCCGATGGAAGGTGAGAACAGAAAAATGTATTGCAATGAAAACAAGTCAGATGAGGAACTCAAGCTGGGGATGCAGGTAACGTATGTACCGAAGAGGAAAACAGACGGAGGAGAGCTGATTCAGCTCCATCCCCGTCACTTGTTACCTGTCTTATTAATGTTTCTCAAGCTACCAAAGCTCTTTAATTTCCACATTTTGCGTTTGGCTGCAGAGCGAGAGATAAGCACAGAGAAAGAGAAACAGAGAAAGACAAACACCTTTAATAATCCCCACAGAGGTAGAAAGCAGAGGCAGAGGAAAAAGCGTAGGAATATGTAAATAATGTAAATATGTGTTATTTATAAATAACAACAGCAGGAATAAAATGCTGCCCTCGAAAAACATTCTTTAATGTTTTATTAATGCGTTCATTTTCTAGTCATTCATTATAAAAACACTGTGTTGATGCTTCTTTCCACTCACTATAATATCTGTATGCATTACAGTGGGCATAAAAGAGTCTATTTTTATTACACTAGCAGCAGCAGTTTCAGGCAAACAGCAGCTCCTGGTAAAAAACTGAACCTTCGATATTTATGTCAAGCTACCTTCAGCCTGCCCAACGGCTGCATCTCCTTTCTGATTCATGCTCTTCTTCCTCCTGTTCTTCTTCCTGTCGCTCATGGGAGATGCCTGACCGGGGTCTTTTCCAGAGAAAGGACTGGCGGCTCCTTCAAGTGCATCTGACATTTAAAAATAATCAATCACACACACTGACAACACCTCTAAACATAAATTAATCCTCAAAAAAAAAAGGAACAAAACAAAAAAAACTTGATTGAACTTAAATGTGTTCAGTAGTTTATGTATAATTCCAGTTTGTTCCATTGACTCATTTTCTTTAAATTGACTTTATATTGTTCCAAAAATAGTTTAGGATTATTAAATTCTTGTTTTTATTTCTGTTTATTAATCATCATATGCCGAACATAAAAAACACACAAAGTTAATCGGCTACCGTGTTGATAATCAATTGTTTTTGGTAATTTGTTTTAGTGGAAGAAAATTCAATTTAAGATTAGACTTAAGATACATTTAAGTGACTTTATTCAGATAAATTCTGTTCACACATTTTAAATAAGTTTGAAGAAACTTTAATTAACTTAATTTAACCTCAACAATAATTGCTACTTCTACTCAAATCAGTTTCACGCTTAAATTGTGTGAGTTAATAAACTGTTTGCTGTGGCCATACAGTGTGTTTTCTCTCTCAAACTGGTGGCAGTGACTGAAAGGTTTTAACGTACCGACACTTTGTGCTTTGGTGGACAACGAGGAGGCGCAGCGTTGAAGTCCTCTCTCTCCTCCCTGAGGCGACAAACCACCAGACCGGTCTTCAACCACGGAGAGGGTGGCTGGACACAGCTGAGGAACTGGCAGCGAGAGAGGAAGTGAAACGTTTATAGCCTTTAAATGAAACTCAGACGGTCGGTGGCACACTGTGTTTGCATGCACACAAGCAGAAGTACCTGTACTGGTGTTATCAGCGGCTGTCAGCTCCTTACTCAGCCCGTTGACTCCAGGCACGGAGCCGGGGGGGACGGGTGAGGGGCCCGCGGGGGCGACGGCTCTCGGAGGACGTTTCCCGGGAACTTTAACCGTGACGCGCAGGAGGTCGATTTCCTTTCCGTGGATATTCTGATTGTAGTCCTGAAACCGACAACATGTCACACAGATTGGACCTTTTTACCGGGACTAGAGCAAGAATACAGTGTAAAAGTTATTAAGTTAACACAACTTCATCCCATAAATTACTCAAAAATGAATTTCTGAAGTAATAATTAAGTTGTTTTAGTGAACTTAAATAAGTATTTGTGACCTAATTCTAGTTTGTTCCAATGACTTATTTCTTTAAGTTGTAAGATCATCACAAAATGTATGTAAGCCCGACTGTCAGAGCTATAATGCTGTATGTTTTTATTTTATTTTATCCCCCAGAGTGTAAAGAGTTAATAAACTTAAACGGTTTCATCGTTTTAAACTAACTCAACTTCTGGATGAGGAAGTAAATAATTCTCTTCAAAAGCAAGCTTTACTGCTACCACCTAAAGTTAGCTGCTAATGGTTGCTAAGCTACGATTAGACAATAATTGTTTGGGGGAGGAGTTAAGCAACAGTTACATAAACTCACTTTAAAGGCAGAATGAGGAGGATTTCCTTAAAAAACGATGAAATAATTTACTAATTACTTGTTAACAAATGTAGTAACCTAATGCAAGTATCATAAAATTAAAGTAACGTAACATGATTACTTTCAGTTACTTTTGGATTATATTAACACCAAATTAGCTCTTTTTTCTTTCAACCTTAACATTATTTTCTCAGCTGGAAGGCAGAACTTGCTCTTTACTGTAATGTTGTTCCCCTTTTCTGCTTTAAAGATCCACCCAGAGAATACAGCTCTGTCATTAGAGGCCACGATAATGAATTGTATCTGTAAGATTGGGTGTGGTTCCACTTGTGAAGTGTTGCAATGCGTGCGCACTGCACATGTGCAGGGTAGTATATCATTTTTTATTTAGGGCCCGAGCAGCGACCGCTGTGAAGGCCCTATTGATTCTGCTCAGATTATTTTATTCTGCAGTTAATCGATTTTCGCCGGCTGCAACGGGCTCCAAACCTCATGACAGGCGGCACACGACGTACGGGTCCCGCACATGGGCGAGGCAAGAGCAGCCCCGGCTTCACTCTCACCGATATGCATGAAAATTGGTAGGAACATGCATCATGTCCTGACGTTAAAAAAAGCCTCTTGGAGCAATACCCCAAACCCAACAAGAAGTCAGCTATTTTGAATTTAATGTGCAATTTTGGCACAGTTTTTACCATTTCCATTCATTGTATTTTAATAAACTCCGACTTCCGACCAAAAGTTATCAAAAGCTTTTTGAATCCGTCCCACCCTGAACACATTTATATGCTGCCATTATTCAGTCACACTCACAGCGCCACCTACTGGAAACAGGAAGTAAACATCGTCATCGTCATGAAATCTTCAGCGTGATCTATCTATATTCTGGCACATAATGTGACCGCAGCACGCCCTGACGCACACGGACCACGAGGGCGCCGTTCATGCAGCTTTAATTTTTAAATGTAATTTGAAATAATCCCCATTTTTACTAAATGTAACTGTAATCTGATTCCATTCCCCAGTTAGTTACTCCCTAAACCTGCTTATGACCCACAATAAGTGTGTGTGTATCTGCAGTGACCCTGCAGCCCTCTGCTGCCTGTATTTTGCTGTGTTTCTGGGTGTCAACCTGTGTGCTGTGTAACCCCCAGCCAATAATAGCACACAGGAAGTGACTGTACAAACGTAGGGACCAGATCGTAAGCACACATCCAAGAGGAAGCTGTGGTGTCATTTAGCCGGGGAGGAGGGGCCATCTTGTCATCACAAACCCACAAATCATTCTCATTCTGCCTTTAAAGTCTTCCTTTATTTCTCTGAGTCTCTGCTTTAAGGCTGACAAAAGTGGTGCAGTGGTGCAGAAAACTCAACGACTGTAAATGTTGAATCGCTCAATCAGTTGTGAGCTAAAGTTTCAAAGCAATTACAGGCCTGTTTAAGACAAATGTGGCCTGTGCTGAAAACCAGAAACTGTAGTTAAATCTAAAAAGCTGCAGATATTCTCTCCATAGTGAAAACCCTCTTGGCCGTTTGCTGAATCCAGCCTGTGTTTTACTGCCGTATTGATCTGTCTTGTGGTGTTCTCTTACACTGGAGCTGGAGTGGTAAGACAGCGTGCCATTGTTGGACAGGGTGACGTATTTCTTCTTCCACTCCTTATTCAGCGAGCTCCCACTTCTCTTCCACAGGATGCTCTGTCAAAGACAATGAAGGTCACTGCTCGCTCGCAAAAAAAACAACAAACCCATCTGCCTAAATTTAGAGTCGACAAAACTGAGACGATCTCTTCAAAGTGTAAAGAGTGGTCCGACAACAATAGCTGAAAGCACAATATTAATAGATCACCCTTGAGAAGGGTTGAAACAAATGTGTTTTTGTGCTGCTTATGTAAGATGAAATAAATAGACAAGTGCGTGTTTGTTCCCACCTTTGCTGCTGAAGAGGGACTTGGCACAAATTATCGTGCTGCAAGCAAACTGAAGCCTGTAAACACCCACTTGATTGAAAATTCACTCTGTTTCTTGCACTGTTTTTGTAATGTTAAGCAAACCTGTTTGATGGGAACGCCCCGCGCGCCACTCAGGTCTCCTTTGCCGTCGCCCGCCTTCTTATCCGGGTCCCGGTTCTGAAACAAATCCAACAATCAGGGGTTTAAGAGGGGGGAGGGGGGGCAGATTTGAGCAGGGAGAGAGAGTCAGAGGTGGAGATGAATGGAGTGAAATGATGGCGAGATATGAAAGGCAAAAAGGTGCGAGACACCGGCAGCTGGCAACAACTGACCTTGAAGAGGGAGGGCCGTCTGGGGATGGTCTTCAGAGCACGGTTAACACTGCCTCCCCCCTCTCCCGTTGCAATGCGCAGCTCTCTGTGACCGACCACAGGGGTGGAGGGGAGGGAGCAGGTGTAGCCGCTATTCTGGCCGTTACTGGCCTGAGTGGAGGAGCGAGGCGAGGAGGAGGAGGAGGGGTGGAGGAGAGCGGGGTCAGGAGGTCAGGAAGGCCAGGGGGGGAGAGAGAGATGGGGATGGAGGCGTGAGGGAAGAGATGGAGAGAGTGAGAATGAGCTGGAAGATGAATAACTGGTGATATAGATTTACAAAAAGTGGGTGATGATCGACAGCATGAATTTTTCACAATCATCGTGAACGTGGGGGACGTGATACTCGTGGGGGCGTTGAGATGGATGCAGAGGAAGTGATGAACGGTCTTCAGAGATGGTGTTGAAAATTAGATTTCAGTTTGATAGATGATTTGAACTTTATAATGCATGTAAACTCTTCCTCAGATTAATCACCAAAAAACCAGAGAGAGCTCCACATTCTTACTCTGAATCTGAAGAAGTCATGTTTTAAAAAGAAATATTTGTATTCTTTATTCGTGGAATGCCTTTTGTCAAGAGGTCATTTTATTCATATATTCTGAAATATGCAGTAAAAAGACTATTTTGGTAACAGTAGAGACTAAAAAAAAATGCTCCTGAA